GCGCCCGGCCGAGAGGTCCAGGACTTTCCTTGCTCGCTCACAGCGCCAGGGCCAGGACCCGGCTGCGGGTTTCCTGCCCAAACCGAACAGAGGGAGAACAGGGCTGGGCCTCGGCTCTGCCAGGGGTCACTGCTGCCAGGGGCTCATGGAGATGGAAGGTAGCCTGGGAAGTGGGGTCAGGCTGCTGCACATCCCCTGCTCCAATGCAGCCTCCCCCATCCTGCTCCTCAGAGGAGAGGAAAATGGGTTCGAGAAGGGGCACAGGTACTTCTCCCTTCCCCCACAGCTCCCAACCCACTTGGATCTCTTTTCTGGTGCTGGGGATGGAACCCAGGGCCTCACACAAGCCAAGTCAGCGGTCCATCCTGAGCCCCCTCCTCACATCTCTTAAGTGCAGGGCTAAGGAGGTAGAGCCCTGTGCTGCACATCACACGTATTAACTCCTGTGAGGCAGGTATTATCATCCCATGTGACAGATGAGGAAACTGAGGCACAGATTGGTGAACTCATAAATGGAGCCACACTTTGATCACTGGTCTTCTGATGCAAGAGTCATCTTAAGTGCTGGCCGGTCGCCACCTTGGACCAAGGCCAAGGGGACGGAGGAAGCCCAAGAGGAGACCAGCAAGGGGGCTGGAAATACACTTCTAATGTCCCCTGGGAACTTGGATCGCAGCTCGGGGAGAACAAGGAGCCTGGGGCGGTGTCCCCTTTCCCTCTGGCCATCAGAGGGCCTGTTCTGGTCCAGGCATCTCCCCTAATTCCAGGGTGAGTGGGGACTGGCTGACACCTGAAACGGGGAGCACTTACCCTAATGCCTTTTCCCCCAGCAGGGCAAGGCTGCCCTCAGGCTCTCTAGCAGGGGCTGCTGCTGCTATTGATTTTGCCCATAGCTTGGCCCCTCCATGGCTGGCCTCGCCTGTGTTCCCGAGTTCTCCTGAGTCTTCAGCATGGCCCTCTCTTGTCCCATTTGGGGACTCAGCCTGTGCTATTTGCTCCTATGAGGACACCCCCTTCCCACCTGTGTACCTGATCCTGGCTGGAGTCCTGAGTCCTTCACGAGGCTGCTGCAGTCCACAACAACCTCTCCTCTCCCTCTCAATTCTCATTGGCTTGTGCTCCTGCTCCAGGGAGGGTTCTTCAGCCTTGCACCCCGAGGCTCTGCTCCCTCACCAGTGGACCATCTTGGGCCAACAATAACCAGGACAGCAAGGAGCAGCCCAGGCCAGCAGCCACCATAGCTCCCGGTTAGCGACGCTCATAGCCACTTCGGTAGCTCCCGCTTTGAGTTGGAGGGGGTCTTTGAGCTGCCACCTAAATCACTCTGCCAACAGCAGTGTAAAATATGGCGGCTCTCTGGGGCTGGCCACCCTCTGCCACTGTGCTGGGTGGCACCAGGTCCAGGAGTTTATGGGACTGGCGCTCTTGGGAAGACAGAGACCTGCAGTTAGGACCCCACCATACAGCCCTGGCCCTAAAATGTATTTCGGGGGTCAGGGGCCAGAAGGGAGCTGTGCGGCTGCTTCCTACAGTCCAGGGCCTCCCTCAGGCCCCGGCACCATGCAAAGGACTTCTTGCCACACGGGGGCTGCTGCAGAGGGAGGACATGTCACTTGCCCACCAGCAGGGGGAGTGGGTTCTGAGCCAGAGGAGACATCCCAGCCCGCTGAAAGAACGGGAGCTAGCCGATGGCTGGTTCACTGGCTCTTCCATCTGCCACCCCTGCCCTGCCCCTCACCCACCCCACCCTCAGCCACACTCCGTCCCTGTCCCTCCCCTCCTTCCTTCTCCCACCCACGCCTCCCCAAGGACAAGCAAAGTTATTACAATAATGAATTAGCCAGCCCGCTTACTGCCGCCACTGGCGAAGACAATTATCCGCCCCCCCCCCCCCACGTCCCTTGCTGCCGCTCCGCTCCCTCATAAAGACAGGCTTTTGGGGCCGCTTTGTGCTTTGATTGGAAATGAAGAGATTGCTAATTAGGGAGCACCTGCTGGGACCTGGGCTGGCAGGAACAACGGCAGGACGGACTGAGAGGCCGCGGTGAGCAGGCGCAGACAGGCGTGTGTGCGTGCGTATGCGTGTGTGTGCACGCATGTGAGTATGTGTGCGTGTGTGTGCGTGTGAAGGGTGGGGGGAGGCCGGTGGGAGGAGGCACGAGGAAGAACAGAGCCAGCGCCACATAGACACCTCGGTGATTTAATCCAACTCCCATCCACCCTACCTTGAAGCCGTAAACAAAACCCAGACATTTTATGGAGCTTTTCACCTTTTAAAGGATGCTAATTTGTTTATGGGGGGCTGTAATTCTGCTTGTATTTGTATAGGTCAGGGTCTGGCATGTGAAGCCAGCACACAGCTGTTTCCAGCCAGGCCAACCAGTGTTGGGATGTGAAGAGCTTCCCAGCCTCCTGCAGAGAGGCAAGGACAGGAAGTTGGCACACAGAGGTGACCTGATGTCACTGGGACGCCTGGTGGCAGTGACAGGAGCATGAGGTCAAAGAGCAATTAAACCTGAGATTGACTTGATTCTTTATTTTTGGCCCAGGAACCACCCACGTGTCCGAACTCTTTCCTGGGCACTGGGGAGACAAGCTCATTCCTGGCAACTTTCCCAGAATGAAACCCCAATTTGACACTAGAGTTAGTGGGTAGAGATACACAGGTACCCAGCTGCTTTTCCCTAAATAACCCTATTGCCTCTAACTTTTCAGTCCTTGCTCCCTATCTGGACTGGACTCCACTGGGCAACTCTTGTGTGCATGGGGGATTAAAACACACACACACACACACACACACATACACACACACACACACACACACATCTTTGACACCTATGGGGCATTCTTTTAAATATTTGCAACACAGGGCTTGGCTCTAGAGATGTTGCATAGCCACAGCCACTCACAATTGTGACTTGGGCAATTGGGGAAGGGGACAGAGCACACAAGGAGACCAGAACAGGAGGAATGATGGCTACAAGAGTAGGCATGAGGAAGGCTTTTCAGAGAAGGGGGGATGTTAGCTGAGTCATAAAGGACCCTGGGGGTCAGGGCCCGGGTATGCCACCCAGCCTGCCCTCATTTAAGCAATGGGTTCAGCAGGTAAATCAAGGACGGTGCAAGGGTGGAGGATGTGTAGCACGGGAGGTATGTGGGGAGCGATGGGGGGAACAGCAGTTACACCCTTGTGCATGAGGCCACATGCACGTGGGTAAGGCTGTCTTTACACTGTGAGCAGATGGGGAGTTCGGTAAGAGTTGGCCAGAAGGTGATGGTCCTGGAACATAACTTGGTTAGGGCACACTATTCCCAGGTCAACTTTCGCTGCTTCCCCCTGCTCCTCTGTCTGCCTACCCTTAAGGTATCTAAAGCACATGCAGCATTGGCTAAAATGCATGTCCATTGCCCCGTGGCTCACCCCAGGAGGTAGGGACCCTCACAGAGATCCTGTCTTGACATGTGCATGGGACTGAGGGTTCTCTGACTGCCCACCTCAGTTTTTCCACCTATAAAATGGGGAGGTACTCCTCACTTGCTTGGGGGTCCCCTCTGGAGCTCTGTCAACCCCTAGTGCTACAAAGCATTGCATAGTGTTGGGGTACACAGTAGTGGCAAACCTATGGCACATGTGTCACAGTGGGCTGTTTGTATCACTGAAAGCTCTAAAAGGCTCACCATCACTGAAGTATAGCATGCAAGAAAAAGGCCCAAAGCATAGACATGCACCTATGAACTGTTTCAGACTCCAGTGTTGACACTCAGCAGCTGTGCCCCCTCAGGCTGGTCATTGAACTCCTCTGAGCCTCACCTTTTCCATCTGTAAAATGGGCAAGGAGCATTCCAGCACCCACTTCCTCTGGCTGCTGAGCATGAGAAGGGATGGCAGGAATAGAGCAGCAGGCATAGAGCCAGAATGTGCTGGATAACAGGACTGCTTTCTTTCTGCACTTCATCCCCATCCTTACAAACTGTGTAGTTTCCCCATGGAGCCAGAATAGAAAACCTGGTCCCTTGCTTAGTGTCCTTATCCTTTCAGTATGATGTAGCGAGGGTCCCTGCTTTCTGAGACACCTGCCCTGTTTTCCCTTTTGACTGTTGTGAGCACAGGTACCTTTTGAGGAGTCTCCAGGTATACTAGAGAGAAATGGAAACGTTGGGAAAGTTCTAGGAGGAAGAGGTTAAAGATTCACTTTGCTCCCACTTAGGGTCTGGGCCTCCGGCAGGGCATCTGACAGCTACAGAGGCAAGAGGCACTGCCTCTTGGGGAGGATCCTTTGCCAATTCCTGGCACAGGCCAGGGAATGTGAAGGACAGTGGGCTGTCTGCCTTGCAGCCTGGAAGCCCCTGATCAAGAGACCAAAACTCAGGCCCAAGGGGCTGCAGGCACAGCTGCAAGGTCACCAGACCCAGGCTGGGCAACCCCACCCTAGGAGCTGCTGAAAGCTGGACTGACTGGTGCTGGGCCCAAGCACAGCAGCTCCAGCAGATGGTGGTCTGTGAATTCCTGAGCCCTCCTTTTGCCCAGGAACATGAACGTGCTAGGCACTGGAAAAAGTAGCTGGCAGGAAGGGTGCTTCTGCCCCTTTCTGTGTGTGGCACAGCCAAAAAAACCCAGCTGTGGCCATCAGTAGTACAATTGGGTCTTGAAATAGAGGAAGAGTAGTACCAACACTCTCCAGAGCAAACCTGGCTCCTCCCTTCTACCCACATCTACAATCAGCTTCCAGCATCGGCTAAATTTTAGATCTGACTAATGCTGTGACCATCAGAACTCCCCCACTCCCATGCTTTTGTGTCCCCCCAAACCTGAATGCATTCACCATCTGTGATCTTCAGCCACAGAGCCACAAGAAGAGCAGAGCCCAGGGCTGGTGCTTCCTCAAGGCTCACCCACTTAACCCTCAGACTACCCCATGAGACTGGATTTTACTGTCCCCTTGCACAGATGAGCAAATCTCAGTGCAAAGCAGTGGTGCAAACTTTCCAGGGACCATAAGGCTAATGAGCAGTGGAGCTGGAACTCAAAGCCAGACTTGCTCAAGTCCAAAGTTGGACTTTTACTATCTCCTAAAGTGGCATCAGGGGACTGTGGACATAGGCAGGTCCCATGAGCGCAGGGTCCCTCTGTGTCTCAAATCTGTTTGGTTTTAGCAGGCAGAGTGCAGGCAGGTGTTGGGACCTGCTAGTGAGTGGGGGTGCAAGGAGCTTCTGAGCATCCTGTAGGTATCCGAGGGCAGATGTGACTGGTGTATGCTTCAGGTGTGTGGACACCGGTGAGGATCAGCCACAGATGCTCAACATACAGTATGGAACAGGGTTGCTTTCCTTCCGGCTGGGTGTCATCACTAGGGAGGCTTCGGGAAGGAGGCATCTTAAAATAAACAAAGAAGATGTGGTTTGGGTGAGGGCTGGGGCAAGGGGGCTCCAGCCTGTGGAAATGCTGTAGCAGACCTGCATTTCAGGCAGATGCATGCCAGGAAGGGCCCCTGGTAGGGCAGAAGCATTCACACGGGGCTGGGTGAGCTGACAACCTGGAGTCACGGAGCAGCACTTCCCACGGACTCAACTTCCACTCCCATCCCCACAGTGTGCTCAGAATCAGGCGTCCAGGCTTATTGGTTTAGTGACTAGATAAGATAGCTACAGAGGCAAATAAGTTTGAGTTTGAAATGTGTCTTTATCATTTCCTAGACCTGCAATACCCATATGTGGATGGATCTGGGAACCCCTCAGCTATAAACTGGAGATACCACCCGCTTCAAGGAATTTCGGTGGAGATGAGATGTAACAATATCCAAAGACTCTGCCCAGTGCTCTAAGCACAGTCCCTTAGCAAGACCAGTTCCCCTTCCCCATGCGTTTGCATCCCTGTCCCTTTCCTGGAGGGAGCTAGACAGACTGCAGCCAATTAAAGCAAGCCTCCCTGCCCTACACTCCTATTCCAACTAAACTCCTATTTCAGACTCCAAAAGAAAAATAACTTATCTTTTTTCTGTACAGAGCCAGGTTCACGGCTGTTAGGAACAGGTAATGCCTACATTCCCCACCTTGGCCTTTTGCTGAAAGCATATCAAAGGGCAAAAGACTTTCCTGGAGGGAAGCAATGAGTTGGGGAGCTCTTAACTACATTCAGGGGGCCTGGAGGGGACCTGTTCTTCTCCAGTCCTCCTCTATGGGACAGCTCGCTCTGCCGAGGGAAAGGAAGGGAGAGGAGAGAAAAGAGAGGGAGCCCAAGCTCTGAGCACTGACCATCTTTAGAGTCTCTGTCTTGGTGCCTGGGATCGTCCCAGGGTCCCTGGGACCCAGGATCCTGGTGCTCTGGATGGCTCCACCTGGGGCTCAACCTGGACAGTGGTGGAAACTCAGTCACGTGCTAGAGAGGCCCTCATGGGCACGGAGGAAGCGGAAGGAGAGGACGCCATCTCATATGCTCTCCCTGTGGTAGATCCTGCTGGGTCTCTCCCAAGTGCTGCCAGCTATAGGCTCTCCTGAGAGCCCCCTTGAGGAGGGAGCCCCCATGGTCCAGGTGGGCCCGGGAGGCTCCCCTCTCACCAGGGCACTCTCAGCCACTGTTGAACTGACTGGGAGTCGAACTGGCCCATCTCCTTGCCTAAATTGGGGCTCAGGGAGTGCCCTATGCACCTGTGCTCTGGGGGGTACAGGCTGAGGCTGGCTCAGAGCTGAATCCCTGAGTCCACCTGGCTTCCTCCCTGTCCTCTGACTTTCCTCACCTTCCCAGCTTCCTCCCAAGAGCACTTCCTCAGTTCTGCTCTGCTTCTGGGGAATCTGACCTAAGACAGCAGCCTCCACCTCCCTGGAGCCTTTCCTAAACAGCAAGGTGATGGCAGAACCCAGCAACCAGGAACATGCCCAAACTGGCCTGGCAGGGATGCTTACATGCGCCCCCATCAGCTGAGAAGGCCGATTAAACAAGAGACCCAAATGTGTCTGGGGGAGACTCCAGAATCGGCAGTGGGCCCAGAATCAAGGGGAACACAGAGACCTCCCTGGGGGTCACTCCAGCCTGGAGGACCAGAGCCTGGATCAGGACCATGACTCAGAAAGCCAACATGTCCTCCAGCTCACCCGAGCAGCCTGTCACTCTGCAGCCAGGCTCCATTGGCAGCACATAGTCATGCCACTTTGCCTCTCTAGTCCCCCACCAGAAAACTTTAGTTCATCTTCCTGTGAAAAGAGAGACTGAAAAATGGGAACTAGGAATGCCAAGCAGGACAGGGGAGAAGAAGTCCCCTGAGGAAAGGGAGTTTGCCAGAGACCAAAAAGGGTGTTGACTGCTAGGTGCAGTGTTGCAAGCCTGTAATTCCAGCTACCTGAGAGAAGGAAACAGGAAGACTGAAAGTTGGAGGGCAGACCTGGCAACTTAGGGAGATCCTGTCTCAAAATAAAAAATAAAAAGGGCTAGTACCTCTGGCAGTGGAGCACTTGCCTAGCATGTGTGAGCCTCTAGGTTCATTCCTCAGTGCATAAATAAATAAATAGGTAAATAAATTAATAAATAGTCAATCAATCAAAACAACAACAACAAACTGTCCGCTGAATTGTCTAAGTATTGTCAATGGTCTGACTCGGGTGTCCAGTGTGACACCTGGGTGATCACATCACTGACTACAGACATCCACCAGTACCCCCAGCACCCCACACTTCTGCTCCAGGCTGTGGGGTGTGAAACTTTGGGCTGTGAGCACCTGGAGGGAAGCCAAGGCCACAGACGCAGAGAGGATAAACATTTTGTCCCAAACAGTGAGCGCATGTTGGACTCCATCCAAGGTGGGGAGGTGTTCTGATTCTCCTCGGGGATGTGATTAGCATCCCAAGAGCCAAGGTGGGCGGATGGAGAGGAGACCAAGGTCGCAGGAAAGTGGGCAAGGAGTCTGCTGTGGAGCCTGTGACCTTGGCAAGAGACCCTGCCTCCTTCGCTTGCCCCCCTCCACAAGAGCACTGGGTGGTGGGTTAAGGTAGAGACGGCCACATAGAAGGAAGGACAAATACATCCGGGTATGCGTGGGTATGTGGGTATGCATGCAGGTATACATGAGGGTGTGGTCCCCCACTGCAGGAGTTAGGGTCATATTGGTGGCAGGAGAGGTGAAAGACCGTAATTTTCAGGCTCCAGAAAGATGAGATGTGGAGAGAGTATGCTGGGGAAAACAAAGTGTGAAACACAAAAGGAAGAAAACATTGCTGTGAGTTGACTGAGGAGGGATATAAAGTCGGACATGGGAGACACATGGGGGCAGGAAGGTGGGGACGCCCTAGAGCTGGGGATGACAGGAATGCGCTTTCTAAAAGTGCACCCCGCCGCATGGGCATGCTTCCAGTCCACCTGTTTAACTCATGCATTAGGTCCACAGTCTACCAACGTGGTTACCTCCTCCTCTGTAGAGGTTTCTGAAAATTGATTTACGGAAAAGCAAGACTGCAAGAATGGCAAAGGAACAAAAAGGAGAGTAAACAGAGGACTTTCTTGGTGTAAGCACCCGTGTCATGGCTTTTACAAGGATGCAAGGACTTGGGGGAACAAAAGCTAGAGTTCTAGGATCTCTTTCACATGGGTCTTTGAAGGGGGACACAGCACATTTCTTTTATTCTTTCTTTCTTCCTTTCTTTTCTTTTTAATTTTATTTTTTGTGGAACTGGGGAATGAACTCAGGGTCTCCTCACTGAGCCGTACCCTCAGCCTCTTTTAAAATTTATTTTTATTTTAAATCATTATTTCTGTGGTACTGGGGATTGAATCCAGGGCCTTTGCACTGAACTACATCCCCTGCCTTTTTTAATTTTTAATTTTGAGACAGGATCTCCCTAAGTCTCTAAGCTGCCCAGGCTGGGCTCGACTTGCAATCCTCTTACCTCAGTCCCCCAGAGTCCTGCAATTATAGCCATGCACCACCACCATGCCTGGCCAGCACATTTCAAAGAAAATAAATAAAAAGATGGAAACTTTGAAAATGTTGAACCCACTTTAATGCATGTTTAAATGATGCAAAAGGGTATTCACATGTATTTTATTGATTGCCTGTTCAAACTTAGACTTAGATGTGTAGTACATTGTGAAGGTGACATCACATGGTATAATTTACTATCTTGGTGACCTTAATCAAAATCCTTAACCTCAGTGCTTTAGTTTCTCCTTCTGTAAAATGGGAATAATTATGACACTTACACCTTTCAGTCGTTACAAGGATAAATGAGATAAACTGCACAGAGTTCTAGAACAGCAGATACTCAAAACAATGCCTCTTCCTTCTCCCTCACTCAGAAGAGTAATCACAGAGATACAACATTTGAAAAAGTCAGGAAACCAGGCCAGCACTCAACATCACTGTGGTGAACAGTAAAGAAATATCTCAAAGAAATGCCATGATTAGGTACCGGGTAATGGTGCAGTTAATGTGAGGAGAACTTATTGCTGGGGAGGGTGGGAGTGAAAACATTCACAATGTGGAGCAAGGAAAAGATACTGAACAATTTTTAAAGCTTTAAATTCATAATGTGGTTCATCCCCAAAGTGAAAACTGCTGGTTAAAGAAAAGATGAGGTTTTAGGGCATCGAGAACAAAGCGTGTCCCCAGGCTCAGTATGGAAATGACAGAGACCACGACCACCTGAACTGTGGAAGTCCGATTGTCAGAACTGTTCTTCTGGGAAATTCGGTGCAAACTAGGGAAGGTCTGAGATCAAGGGTCCAACATATAAAGGAATCACTTTCTAAGTTTTATAAATGGCAAAGACAGGAGAGGAAAGGGGCACAGAGACCAACAGAGGCAGACTTAAGGACTTAGGGGAGAATATTTCAGAAATAAGTTAGAAACAGTAAAAAGAATGGTCACACCGTGATTAATGATAAAATCAAGGCCATCTAGTAAAAAAAAATATGAAAAATCTTTACAAGGGAGCACAAAGGGACACAGAAAATAGATAAGAGATACTTTGGACTCTGAGGACTCTTTATTTAGCAAGTCACCAAATGTAATATTTCTAAATTAATGGAGTATAATAGAGAGAGGGGGAAAACAGAAATAGACAGCAGAATGGACATGGAAAGACGCAAGCATGGTGGTTAGAAATGACTGCCTTCCGAAGTGGTGTTTATAGTGAGGTTTATAGACACCTCAATTTACATTTTCTTACTAAGAGATTTTCAGTTCGCACCATGAAGGAATGAGCCTCCATCTGCAGCCCGTGATGGAGGGTCTAGAGGGAAGAAACCAAAGGCTTTAAGCACAATTAGCCTGCCTCCGACATTCTGAGCCTGGCCTGGGGAATTGGCATTTGCTTGTGTCATTCCTTTCTTTGGCATCTGCAAAGTGAGTTTGGTGCCTGTCATGAGCAGACACTGTACCAGGAGAT